ATACATTGCTGTTCTTTAATTCATAAATGTATTTTATTTTAATGTCATGATTATGTCTCTTTTGATAAAATTTTTATGTACAGTGTGGTGAGCCCAGCCCTAGGCTGGGGTACCGCGCTATATAAGACCTCTTATTATTATTATGTATCAGGAGGCAAAGTATTATAGCTACAGGCTTCAAACTTTCTATACTTCTTACAATTGATATTATCTACATAATGACACCTTCTTATTTTAGATCTGTCCAACAGAACTTTTAAAATTATTTTTTTACATGTGTTACCCCCCATATTTTGCCAAAAATTTATGTGACCCCACATATATGTCATTTGTAGATGCTCCTATAATTGTAATGCAGAAAGCTGGGTGTCATTTTTTTAACAACTGTACTCTTAAGGAGTGTGCAAAGTTTCATTATGATGTTGAGAAAACTTTTGGTGTTGATACATTTTGCGTAACTGCCAATATTGGTATAAAATTTTATATTTTTTGTAATAAAAAAATAATAAAATAAACTACTAAGTTTTTTTGTCTTTCTATTGGTGTATAGTTTGTACTAAAAAAATTTGTTAATTTAAGAAAGATAGAAAATTTATTTTTGACCCACGGACCACCTTAAGGATAGAGCTGTTTTGTGGGTTCTCAAAATATATTTCAATAATTCAAATGCAACTAACTAGATATTAAAAAAGGCAGTGTCTACACGTCTATCTCCCGCACTATGTGTCCGGCGACCAAGTCACATGACCGCCGTAACAAAGTGGCGAGAGATATCTTGTCGGTCAGCCTTGTCACGTGACTGCGAATAATTCAAAACTATTGTTAATTTTAAAATCTATTTCTCTACCAAGTAATGTACTGAGTATCTTGAATGCAAATAATAGAAAAAAAAACTTAAGTGAAAGTGGCTTGTAAACATTTTTGTTTAGTTTGTTATTTGAGTTTGTGTACCAGTAATCCATAAAATAAATTAGGGGCCAGTGTGGAGTAGGCGTAGGCAACCAATAAAAGTTAAAGTAAAAGATTTCATTTTAAATTATTTCAATTGCTACAAAATATGTAAAAACTTCTCATGAAACTACTGTTGCTGAGGAACATGTTAATATAAATATATACAAAATATTTTTAATTAAAATTGGGTAGAAAAAAAACGACCCTATCCCCGGTATAGATCCTCAAACCTTCCTATCGTCAAGCAACCACTCTACCACACATGATGTACTAAACTATACTTCGTTTGGAATTATAAAAACTACTAGGCGTCCGGCCATGTCCGGCGGTCACGTGACAAGCCGCCGGACGTATATCTTGCGCACTACATGTCCGGCGCGCCGGACGTGTAGACACTTCGTTTAAAAAAATATGTCCAAACCCAACTTCCCAGTGCAGAACAGTTGGATAATTTACTTTATTTTAAAAACCTTCTATCGCTTTCTCCGTTTTCACAATTGCTGCTTTAGTGAATTATGTGCCAGCCTTCTAGAACGCCTAAATTAGGAAAAGTAAAGTACTGTAAAGAGTAAAGTAAAAGTTAAAAGTAAAAGTAAAGCAACAATATAAAAACATGTGACATGTGGTAAGAAACCCTGCCTTATTTATTTAAATTATTATTACCCTTTTCCTTTTATTAGCCTTATTATTATTAAGGCAATGAAATTTAAGCGCGAATAATTATTTCTAGTGATATAAAATTAAAACTTCCTGATGGAACTTAAGGCTTAAAATAGCGTCTTTTTGTTCGAATACAATAACAATTTAACAAAATTGTAAAAGATTTTTTTAAAAATGTACATTTCATGAATCTTTTGTCATTTACGACGCCATTGTGAGGAAAAACAAGGAGAACTCTTCTGTCTTCAAAGATACGTTATAAAAGTTGCCCAATAGGATATATTTAGATTTAAATATTTTTTATTTAATAAATCTATCTTCTTTGTCTGATATTTCTTTCTAGCCCACTGGATCCATGCACAGGCATGTAAAGTTGATACTCGCAAGGGATCTCAATATCAGGGGGCGCATTCGCCCAGGGCGCTGCATTTCCTTTGCACAGTTGTGCATCCATTACGGACGTAACGCGGCTAGAATTTTGAGCGGTATATAGGGGTTTAATACGTCACAATTTTTTAAGGGAACGCAGTAAAATTTTGGGACTAAAATTCTATTTGACCTGATGATTTTAAACTGAAACGCTAAGTTTTGCTATTTATCAAAATTATATCATGCTGCATATCCAACTGTAACTGTAGGTAATTGAAAAATGAAATATGTTTCTAGTATAAAAAAAATTACCCAAAGAAAATTTTTGGGGGTATTATTGCAGGTCTATGTAAAAAATTATTTTTTTTGCTTTACTCACCAGCTCAGAAATCAGGTAACAATAATCCAATCAAGTTCATATTTTTAAAAAATGAGTCTTATGATATATCCAAAACAACTGGAAAGTTTTATTGCAGTAGCTCCAGAAATTGTAAGGTTATGAATTTCTTTCCCAAGACACGTGTTACATTTTTTTTCTTCAAAAATTCAACAATAAAAATAGTTATACTCAAATATTTACACATATTTCCTACATATATACACAAATGAAGCTATTATTTTAAATGAAAGGCCTTGAAGCTTCCTTAAGGATGGAGATGGAGTTTGGCTTCACAGCCACTGCAATAGAAATGTGTGCGTACTCGCTTTGTTGCAGTTGAGCAATAATCAATATGCTCAAGACAGAGCGTCTAAGTGGAGGTGTGTTCATGTGAACTTTCTTTTTAGCAGAGGCATTTATAGATTCAACAATGTAATCTTTAACATTATCATCAAATAGTTCATTGAAAAAGTTAATAGGTGAAGGGTTTACAATGTTTTGAAGTTTAGGGCAAACTCCAGGATTTCTAAGTCTAAGGGGATGAAATCGGAAATTGTTTTCAGTTTGTCCTGTTAGGCGGGCTTCGGACCACTCTGTCTCTGTAGGGAAATCAATTTACTTGCCTAATCGGCAGTCATAGATCGAAATCCTGATCGACTAGAACTAGCAGTGTTATTCGATGCAGCCATTTCAATCAGCTGTTTTTTGTCTACAATTTTTTTGTGAAAAAAACGAGCACAAAATACACAAAACTTGGGTTAATCGATTTGAAATTCAACACAAAGGAAGTGGAACTCCTCTGAATGAAAGTTTGATAAGCTATATAATAAAATAGTTGAATGGAAAAGTTGGAATACTAATAAAATGAAACAAACCAGTTTTGACGCAGAGAGTGGCTAAACGTACTCTGCCGAAATCGCGGTGACGCACACTGCGGCGAAACATATTAAATGGGTTAAGTGGGAAATGTTTGTTAAAATTTTAAATAAAATTGTCAATTTCCTTTCTTAAAATTTGTGACGGTCTCGTTTTCTTTTTCAATAAATAGCGGGTGATTTACTAAGGCTAAGAGGCAAAAACCTGGAAAGTAATGACAATGAAATAGCGAAATAAACACCATTGCAAACAGATTACTAATAAAGCAACTTGGTCCCATCAAGGTACATAAAATCTCTAACAATTTTACTCATCACAAACCAAAGTCAACTTAGGTGGCATCTAAATAATTAAGTTCCATCTATCAAATTGGAGCTGACCAACCACAGACCATTTAAATAGCTTATTTGCCTACTATGACTCACAATTGTCGAGAAAAAGTCAATCCACTTGCATAGGAAGGGGGCTGTGGAGGGGGTGGTCCACACAGGTCCCACTTTTTAAAAAATGTTTAATGAGGGGTGGCATTTTCGGTGAGCTGAAGAGTTGTTTTTTTTGTTTTTTTTAACTTAGTGGTAGTGGGTGGCACAACTTTCTAGTTAACATATCGCAACATAACCCCTGGTCCGCTCGTAACGTTTCCCAGATTTGCTCATTATGAGGACACGTTACCCATCTTCCAACGCTTGGACATTGGTCGCTCTCTGTTGTTGTTGGAATTCTATTACGTAGCCGAGTCTCTCGCTTCGCACCTTTTTTTTTGCCCAAGCGTCGTTTCCCTGGTCTGGTCAGCTGATTACCAAAGTCATTCTCTGATACACTAAAGTAATACGTCGGCATAGCTAGCGCGACGTGGCCTCCACGGCTTTGCCATGTTTCTGTTTAGTAAGGCTGTGGGCAGCAACGCAATCGCCGCGGCTTACCCTTGTATAGCTGAACCCAACAACTGGGTTTGAAAATGCCTTGCTGAGATAATCATCATTCTTGACTTTTTCCTTGTAAATTTATTTTCACTGCTAATTCGCAACGATTGGTTCCGAAAGATTTTCAGCTACTTTTATAAATATGTAAATGTTTTTAATGTGCTGAAAATTATTTTTTAAAATTGTGTAAATAACCATTTTTATTATATTTCTTGGGCAGACTTTGTTTCCTAAACTTGAGTCTATTGATTTCTTATTAAAAAAACATTAACATGTTCTACAATATTGTGTAAAATGTGTAAAAATATCTTAAAATTCTTATCTTTTGTGATAATTTCATATCGATATACTTTAAATTCATTTTATTTGACTCCTATATTTCTAATATTGCTAATTTAATTTAATTGTTTTCTCTTTTTAAAGTGGTCCACTTAGGATTTTCCATTTATCTCTGACGTCAAATGTATTATGAGGAAAAGTATTATTACTACATCCTTCAAAATTTGCAAGGTTTTTTCTATTATATTCTCTACATAATGATTGATGTTTTTTTTAAATTACATGACTCATAAAGAAAATTCAGAAGTTCTTATGATCTTATTATTTTTATTAGGCTCGAGGCTGGTGGGTTGTTTGGAAAAATTAGTTATGATTATCCATAAAAGCCGGGAACTCAGTTCGAATAAATTTATACTCTGTTCCAAATGAAAACTTCTACTGGAAAAAATTAACAGCTATTCTGACCACACAGCGATACACTCTGAAATCTAATAGCTATTCCGACCATCCGATAATTCACTTATTATAAAAAGTATTGGACTGCGATAAAGCTTTAAAATAGATTAATAAGACACGAACAAATTGTGTCAATAGAACAATATAAGTTCCGCTTTAATAATAAGTATACATTATACACAATTAAACGTTTCGGCACATGCCTTCATCAGTACAAACAAACAAAACACATTTAAATAAGTATAAATTAAATTTACATAATATCAATATACATATCCTACCTAAAACAGAAAAAAAGTAAAGAGAAGTAGAAAGGAAGTGATTTTAACATAATTAATTGTAAAAACCAAACATGAAAAAGACATGGCAGCTAAGTAAAATTGTGGATTTGGTTCATTCCATATGGAGACAACGTACCAAATCTAGTTATTAATTTGGTCTCCATATAGATTATATCTGCAGTGTTACTAGTATAGAGTATACCAGTAACTGCACTGTCTGAGATACCATCATGGTTAGGGCTATTGAAATGTTTGGAGACCGGACAGAGAGCGTGTTTATTTATGTTATAGAGGTGCTCTCTGAAACGGTCCCCTGTCTCTCCTATGTATAATTTACCGCACTTTTTGCAAATGATGGTGTTGTAAATCATGTTGCGACTTGTGCAGGTAAAGCCATCTTTTATTCTGAATACTTCCAGAGGGAAAGTGATCTTATCAGTTTCGATCACGTAGGGACATGAGTTACAACGGTTACGGTTGCAACTTTTTGTGCCTTTATGTGCTTTAATAGCAGGGAGGTGGCTTCTAACTAGCATGTCCCTAAGGCTCTTGTCCCGCCGGAAAGCGAAAAGAGGAGGTTTTCTAAAAATCTCATTTGTGACAGGGTCCGCCATCAGAATTTAGCGGTTTTTCAGAACCAGAGAGCCAAGTCTCCTTACACATTTATTGTCACTATCGTTGAAATTTTACTTCAGATGATTCATGTTTAAATTGTTGTAATTGTAAAATTTTGTCTTGGTTAACATGAATTTACCTGAAATTAATTACGTACAACGTAATTAAAAAAAACTCTGTGTATATATATTGCAAAATTAAGTGAACAAAAAAAGTTTACATTAAATTCATTAAAAATGCAATAAAAACTTCAATACAATGAATGGTTCAAGAGAGGGGAATAGTTCAATGTTTTAACTGAAGCGATCAATGCCACGAAGGCTACTGCAAACATGTGTTTAAAAAAAAAACTTCTTTTATTAAAAAAAAACCCCAACAGGATTATGATTAAATATGGCAAGATCTAAGAAGTAGCCATGTAGTAAGGAGAACAATGAACCGGAAGCTTAAACATTAACTAATTAAAATACGAACATCATACTATGAATCGTTTAAAAATTTCTTCCATACAACTATAGATTAGAAATTTTTTGTTATCTTAAAAACCTACAAGAAGAGCAAAAAACAGAGATGGTAAAACATCTATACAGAAATACTTAACATTAAATTATGTCAAAAGAAAAAAAAAGTTAAAATAATCTGTAAATTCAGATAATTATTTGATAACTAAAGACTTTACTTTACTATTGAATCGATGCACTATATTATTTAATTAAATTTATGTTTAATGTATGTTTATTGAATATTTTCAAACAAATTATTAAACAAATTTGGATAAATTTTGTTTGATTGAGAACTTTCTCTTTCATTAAGACCATTTTCCTTGCTGTCTAGTTCTGTCATCCAAAAACGTTCCCACTTCTCGAGAAAGGCATCTTTAGTATTTTCAATCCATTTTCTATTTTCTCTGCTCAAAAATGTTTTTATGTCATCATTGTCAGAGTTACATTTTGTTATTTCGTAAATCAAATCAATATTTCCTGTTATTTCGTAATTCAAATCAACATTTCTTTTTATTTCTATAGTTTCAACAAATCTTATTACGTCCTCTACTGAGCCATTTTGATACACAAGTTCTATTAACGCGTCTTTACAAATTTTTGGGTCATTACAAATTCCATGCATCACAGCCCATATCAACATCTGAACTTCAATTTTACAACGGTTAAATATATATTTCCATTTTCCTAGGAAAAAAATCTGACCATCACTAAGACGAGCTAATATTGCGCACCGGTAATGCCTAACTGCACACTCGCCACTGTTGTAATGATGGTAGACTGAACTTTTTTTTTTACCGTCATCAACAATTTGTGGATATCTCTCAAGAAATGTACGTTTCGTTTTACCTACGTACTTTTTGTAACAATTATAACATATGCTCAAATAAACAATACATTTAGAATCGTAATCAAATGTCCCAACATTCGTATCTATCTCTAAAATCTTCTTTATTTCAGAAATATGCGTGTAATGATATTGTTTCATGAGGTCCCACCCCTTTAACTCGAGGGCAGAATCATTTATAAAATTAGTTTCACATCTTTTTAAACCTAAGTACTTCTTCCATAATTGCTTCTTAGACTTAGAATGATCGATCATCATGTATCTAACATTTCTTATGTTGTGATGCTTCTCAGATTCACATGTCTGATACCCAGGAAATCCAAAACGGACATATTTAAATTGTTGTTTTGTAAAATCAATCCACACTTGATCACAAGCAATACAATACATCAAATACACCACATCAGTTGCCTCACAAATTATGTTTATATGTGAAGGCTTATTTTTTGTTCTAATCCCCAACATCAAATCAACATGGTACACGCAGAATGTGCATTCTTTCTTGTCACATTTTTGAGTGTTGTCATCCTGTCAACAAAAAAAAAAAAAAATAGAACTAGAATTTATCTCATGGAGTTTATGGTTATTTAAATCAAAATTATAATCTAAATATATACAATGTGTAACGTAATAATGAGATTTCATATATAAACTATTAAAACCCATGGATCACATTTAGATGAGGAGACACGTGCAACTAGAGTTGATCAAATATTATAATTTCTCTATTTAATGTAGCCAGAAATTACTCGCGAAATTAATACTCAGAAAATCTTGTTAAGTACTCAGAAAGAGACGATAATATTAGCAAAGTAGATTTTGACGTACAATATCGTTCTCAATAGGAAATCTTTTGGAAAAAAAAACGCTTCCAAGTATATCCCATAACATTAATAATATATGCACTAACACGCGGCTAATAACATGGAACGTACATAAAAAGTTTTATCTCAACTGGCTAATCTCCCTTGTACACCCGTCGAAGTAGATTAGAGGTATAAAGAGAATACTCGAGGCAGTTTCAGATAAGATTTCTTCTCATGTTTAGTTCCTTGTGAAGTTTTAAATCACTGCGTTCTTGCTCGGACTTTCATGGCAGGGGCTTGCAGTCGACGTTTTCTTTCTCTTGTCTCAGGAATAGAGGCTACATCTTCTGTCAGCAGTTCAACCTCTTTAGGGCGGACGTTATTCTCAAGAAACAGTGACATGAACTCCAATGATAAAAACTCTTCAAATCATCACAGAAAATTTCGTATGCGTATTGCATCTATCTATATGGAAGACACAGCAGTGAAATCCCTATAGCGTTTAATTAACAAAGAGGAGCCAAGACGGCGATTAAGTGGACTTTGTGTTCCACCAGAAACCAATGGGCGTACGACTCATAAATCGCTCACAGCTGAGACAGACGGACGATGTGAACGAAATTTTAATATAGGGTGGTGCATGGCGACGAAAGGCCATCGATCGGTCGGAAGTGACGGTTGTTTTTGTTCAGTTCAGAACACGGGTACATGTTAATGACAAGTTATAACATTAGACTTGTGTTATTTATTGTCCAGTTCTAAAACGAATACCAAAGTGATGCTGCATAAATTTTAGCAGATAATAGAGCCTCTATGTCATAGAAGAAAATATTCTCTCTATAATTCAGATTTCAAAATCGTACTTTTAAAAAAAAACTTCTTGATTATGTCGAGGTTACAGAAATAAATCTATGTCTATTTATAAACCTAACTAGTCTCTTGTCAGTTATGCTAGTCTCTCTATCTGTTTGTATTTCTGTTAATATGCATCTCTTGCTTGTCAGCCTTTTAAGCTACTATGTTTTCCCTTAAATCAGTTTATATTGTAGCATATATTATAGTCTAACTTGCCACTTTCAATAAATAAGAAATATGTTAAAGAAAAAAGTAATTTTTTTTCATTAAATTATATTTAAAACGGTACTTCTTTTGTTTTCTGTTTACTCAACCTACCTGAAATTTAACCTTGTGGACGGCAACCATAACACTCCTAATTTTTCCATCTGAAAATATTATATAAATATAAAATATCAACCATGGTAAATAATATATTTAATTGCTCAATTTATTACACATTTTGCACACGATGGTATATACGATTCTTTTATTGATTTAAGTTAATATAAATGTGTTTAGATTATAATGATCATATTAATTTTTAACATATGGATAAACATTCCGGTTCAGATAATATATGAAAATAGAAAAATGTAAACATATGACATTTAACATATTTATTAAATGCAAATGTCACCCATCATAAATAATAAGTTCTCACATTTTTGAAATGATAATATTGACTTTAAGAGTGATTTCGCTGGGGAATTCCGCTGCTAAATTCTGTGAGATCAAGGGACCTAATTTAAGACCTATAAATTTTGGTCATTACTTTGAATGAAAATATTAGCACGGATAGAGATGACCTTCAGTAACTGTGACGAGAAGACTGTTACTTCAAATAATTCTTCAACAGAAGGTAGTTTTTCTAGTGTGTGATATTACTCGTATTGTTGATAAGTGTATTTGAGGAAACGTTGAGTTCTGACACAAGCAGGTAATATTTTAGTTTAATAGGCTTGATTGATTTGTTACTTATAAAATTACTCCATAATCATACCACATAAGCTTATCATTAATGGTGACATCTATGGAAAGTATTTTCGTCACTTAATCAATACTGAGATTGTTTTTAAATTGCAAAATGTGCAAAAAGAAGATTTCCAAATTGGAAATTTACAGCCATTTCTTTGGTTTTATCTGAAGAATGTGCATCAGACCAGCTGATAAAGCTTAATACTGAGTAGAGGTATAAACTTCCCATTCAGTTAAAGAGCGAATGACTCTGTATCATGTTGGTTTGTATTATATATATATAATAACCCAAACATTGAAATCATGAGATGGAGTCTCGAAGTCGATCTGATGCCAATAACAATGTCATTGCGTCAACTCCTGTTAGTGCCAAGCTGTATTGACAATTGTCATTTCCTTGTGTCCACTGGTTGCGTGGAGAGTGGGCATCTGCTGCATTGGGCAACATCTGGTCTCCATAAATCACTGCCCAGGCTAAGTAGCTGTACTAGTGACGTCACTTTACGAGGAGCAAGTTTGTTTTGTTAGGAAAAGAAATTAAATAGAAGGAAGACTCAAAAACTTCGCCTCGCAACGTGGAATGTGAGAACCACGTGTCCTGGATTTGACATCGACATTGAACAGATTGTCAAGGCAAGGAAGACTGCCGTCATTGACAAGAACTCGCCAGGCTAAACATTGACATTGCAGACCTTCAAGAGACCCGACTAGCGGATAGTAATACCATAAAGGAAGCCGGCTACACATTCTACTGGCAGGGGAACCCCGCAGATGAACCTACGCGGCATGGTGTAGGATTCACCATAAAAAAACACATAATTGGCCTGTATTAAACCTCCTTCAATAAGATCGGAGAGGATTATGTGACAGCAGATGTCATCATCTGCAGGCAAGGTCAACGTATTCAGTGTGTATGCTCCAACTCTTCATTGGACTCCAGGAGAGAAATATTTTTCTATGAGACCCTGGACCAAGAATTTGCACGTGTTCCCAAAATGAAGCATTGTACATCCTGGGAGACTTTAATGCTAGGGTAGAAGCTAATCAGGAAGCCTGGCCTCCATGTCTTGGTTATCACGGACTAGGAAGGATTAATGATAACGGACAACGTCTGCTGGAGCTGTGCTGCTCCCATGGTCTCTGTGTTACCAACACCTTCTTCAAATGTAAACAAATCCAAAAGGTGACATTTTGACACCCACGTTCCCGCCACTGGCACCAGCTAGATCTCGTCATCACTAGACGCGTGGAGCTAGCCAGTGTTCTTCACACCCTCAGCTACCATAGTGCCGACTGTGACACGGACCATTCTCTTGTAGCAAGCAAGATACGACTAAAGCCCAAAAAATTGCAACTTAACAGGAGCTCGAAAAGCCATTGATTACCTTGTTGATGGGAAGACACCAGGAATTGACGGCATTCCAGTGGAAGTCCTCAAAAATGGAAAACCTGTTCTACTTCAGCACTTAAATGGGCTCCTCTGTCTGTGTTGTGAAACAGGTCACATTCCCCAGGACATAAGAGACGCTAACATTGTAACATCGAATAAAGGGGGCTGAAGTGATTGCAATGGCTACCGAGGTATATCTCTCCTTGAATTAGTTGGAAAGACTTTTGCCCGGGTTTCCCTTTAACGATTGCAGAGCCTTGCGAACCGCATCTACCCAGAGTCCCAGTGTGGCTTCAGGAGTGGGCGCTCAACAATAGACATGATATTTTCGCTACGCCAAATGCAGGAGAAATGTCGCGAACAGCATATGCCTCTTTATATTGCCTTCATAGACCTGACCAAGGCATTTGACTTGGTAAGTCGAAGTGGCCTTTTCAGAATCCTGCAAAGAATAGGTTGTCCCCCACGACTGCTCACAATAATACAGTCATTTCACAAAAACATGCACAGCACATTAACTTTCAATGGCACTGTCTCTGAGTCATTTCCAGTTAGCAGTGGAGTAAAACAGGGTTGTGTACTGGCACCAACGCTCTTTTCAATTTTCTTTTCGATGCTCCTTCAAGTTGCCTTCAGGGACTGTGAAAATGGAGTGCAAGTCCATACCAGATCTAATGGTAGGCTTTTCAATATCACCCGCCTTCGTGCAAAGACCAAAGTAAAAAAAGATGCTTTTCGCTGACGATGCCGCCTTAACATATCACACAGAAGAAGGTCTGCATGGGCTGGTGAATCGTCTATCACACGCTTGTAAAGAGTTTGGACTTTCGATTAGTCTACAGAAACACGTGTAATGAGGCAAGAAGCACCGGCCCCTTCAATCATATCTATTGAGGGTCATAATCTTTCCGTTGTTAAGCATTTCACATACCTTTGATCCAATATTTTTAGTTCGCTCTGCGTTGATGAATAGATAAACATAAGGATTGCAAAAAAAAAAAAAAAAAAAAAAAAAAAAAAAAAAAAAGAAAAAAAAAAAAAAAAAAGAGAAAAAAAAACAAAAAAAAAAGAAAAAAAAAAAAAAAGAAAAAAAAAAAAAAAAAAAAAAAAAAAAAAACAGCAGCAACTATGGCTAGACTGAATAAGCGGGTGTGAAATAATCTCAATCTAACTGAAAAAAACAAAAATGAGTGTCTATCAGGCAAGTGTGCTTAGCACGCTCCTATATGGTAGCGAAGTGTGGACGACATACACCAGTCAGGAGCGGAAACTCAACAACGTCCATCAAAGATGTCTGCGTCGCATTTTACGCATACGATGGAATTACAAGGTGCCTAACTTGGAACTTGCACACATGTTCAGCATATTCTCCTTTTTTAACAAGAGGCGCATTCGCTGGTAAGGTCATGTAAGTAAAATGAAGGAAGGCCGTATCCCAAAGATGCTGCCTCATGGAGAGTTGGCAGAAGGGACAAGACTTATTGGACGGCCACGTCTGAGATTTATGGACGTTTGCAAAAGGGCCATGAAGGAAGCAATATTGAAAACAACGAATGGGAGCTATTTGCCGAACAACGTTCCAGCTGGCGAACAGCAGAGTACGAGGGAGTAATAAAGGCAGAAGATACGCAAAACGAGACCCATGCAACATAAAGATCAATTCGAAAGTCAAAATCTTACCCAGGAATCAATATTCTCCTGCGAAAAATGCAGTCGAGATCGTCATTCTATCAATTGGCCTAGTGAGCCACTCGTCGAAGTGTAAGACTACATAGCTACTTAATCGTCGCACGAAGACGAAAGAATCGCATCTTATCTTATCACGAAATATATATATATATATATATATATATATATATATATATATATATATATATATATATATATTAATGTGCCAAGTTCTGAGATGTATTCCAGGACTTAGAAAAAAAAATTGTTTTACTTCACAAAGTTTCGGCATTGATAATTTTTACAAACAACACATGCATTTGGTTGATAAAAAGAAAGAATAAGAACATACTTCTTTTAGTGAAAGGTAAATGCTCTTTCAATGCGGTTTCAAGAGTAGTACTTTTACGTCTCTCATATTTAAGTTGTGGCTCTTTACTATCTGCTTCCTTGGCGTCAATTAGTTCTGTTTTGAAGAGGATATATATATATATTTTTTAAACATGTTTATCAGGAGTATATTCACAAAATTGAACCTCTAACAGACCTCCCACCTTTCGGCGATCGGTCAAATATACCAGGTAAAAAAGGCAGAAAGAGAAAGAAGAAGAAATAGTATTGTTTCATTGTTGATAATGTGTATTTTACATTTAGTGTGTCGATATTGACTATAGCAGGAATTTTTTTTATTTTTAATTTGACCACCGATATTGTTTCTCATTTATTACAATACAATTATATTTCACGTATTGCAAGTTGCACAATTTACATGTTAGAATCTGTCCAAATAGGGCACCAAATAAATTGATATTTTCAACACAGTACTTACTGAGTGTTCCTAGATTGGATGAACACAGAAAAAAGTCTTACGGAGTGCGCTCTTTTGAAGCGATAGCGCCAAAATTATGGAACAGATTGCCTCAATATTTGAGGGGAATATTAAGTGATAAAAAATCATTTAAGAAACAATTTACAACTTTTTTGTTTCAATAGATTTCGGAGGCCAGAGCGCAGTGAGCATGCTAAAGTGGAATAGATATCAGTGCGATATAAAGATCAAATCAAACAAGTAGAAGATTTTTCTAAATTTATTTAAATCTGGGTGGGGGAGGGGTTGGTTACTTTGCCCCAGGCAGCACAAGATACGTCTCAAAATAAAGTAATGAATGTGATAAATAATTAACCTTTTTAGGAACATACATTTCAGAGGTAGGAAATAGGATATGCACATTTTCACGTGGATGACAATATATTTAAATCCTATGGTATTACATTTGGGAAAAAGAGATTCTACATTCCCTTTTAACAAATATGGGTATGTTTATTTTGCCCAAGGCAGATATGCGTCTCAAAATAAAGGAATTATTTTGATAAATAATTAATTTTCTTGGGTAAATACATGTCGGAGGTAGGAAATAAAATGTGTACATTTTTACGTGGATGACAACATAGTTAACTCCTATGGTATTACATAGGTGAAAAAAGAGATGTTACTCTCTCTTTTTACAAATATACTTATGTTTACCAATTAAGAACATCAACGTCGTTAACAAATCTTGGGTACATTTATATAGTTTACCAATGAATATCAAAACCCAATCATTTTACACACTTAAAAAAATAATTTTAAAAAATAGTGATGGGTTAATATTTACTTTCAAAAAATTAAAATACGTTTTTGTTTTTACTTTGCAAAAAGAAAATAGATTTGTATTTTATTATATCAAACATTTAAATTTATAAACAACAACAACACTCAAGTCTGTTATAGACGTGAAAAACGGTTGTGCGATTTTCCTTTAGATAAAAGAATTCTTTGTTTTACGATTTTCTGATCATATATAATTTTTTTTTAAAAAGGCAAAAAATGTGTTTAAATTTTTGCTGAAGATATCAATAAATATCGAATACCTATAACATAAACTATTTTTTTATCATATATAGAGTTTTGTTGTAAATTTAAGGCAGGTTTTTTAAACAATTTTTAGTGAAAAAAAGTTGTAATTCAAGGGCACGAAAAGGGGTAAATCTAAATTATTTCTCTAACGTAGTAATTGTCCCTCAGTTAACTTATTTAGTGACAAAAGTGATATAATTAGTAATAATTGGGACTGTGTAAATTAAGGTCATGTTTAGAGGGGGGGGAAGTAGTTTAGGAACGTGAAAAGGAGTAGGGTAATCCTATAATATGGAGCAAATAAATTATTCTCAAAACGTAACGATGTTAGAAACGTAAATATTATTACATTTTTTAAGTTATGAATTGTGAAGAATTTTTTCAACAGCAGTTACAAATTATCGCATAGGATATACCATTATTACCCGACAACATCGGGTCATTTATTCTAGTATATAATGATAGTACTAAAACATATTATACTGAAACTCAAATATAAGCAGAAATATTTGTTTTTAGCATCTTATTTAAAATGTTTCGATTACCGTAAAATAATATAAAATGCGTATTATTGATTTAGCAACCGAACTTATTTAAATCGATTCGTTTCAAGCGTTATTTGGTCATTCCAGCTCATTCTGATATACGAGAAAGTTATGACCTGTTGTTACCGGGATACTAATGGAAGGCACTTTACGATACTTTACAACTGCTATTGCAAAATATGAAAGACCCCTTATTAAAACACTTCAAAAAAAAAATTGAAAATTTTTAGAGAAAATGATTCCATCAAACAAATTTAATACAAAAGGATGATCCACAAGCATGGACAGATAATTTATTTATTTGAGCAGTATAGCTTGAAGATGATCATCCGTAAGTTTGGCCCCGAATTTTGACTTGTTAAATTTTGTAGTGGAAAAGAGCTTTTCACACAGATATGTACTCCCAAAAAAGACACTAGGGCCGCATGAACAACCTGGAAATCTCATTGAAGGTGGAGGGCAATAATCTCATAAATAGTCGATGTTCGTCGGTTTTTTTTTTTTTTTGAAGCGCAAAATCTTCCACATTAAAGAAGAGGGTCAGCAAAAATTTGAAAAGTGGCTCTGTGTGTTTTGAAGTCTAAAACATGTGATTCTATTACTCTTGTTATTTTGCAATGACATCAGCATATTTACTACCTAATGATGTGCCCGAGTCCATGAGTACTTTGAATGTTGGGAAATGGCAGAGGTTTCTCTAAGAAGCATATTGATTGATTGATTGAATACTTATATAGCGCTAAGTATCCATGCTTTTTTTAGCATGCTCACTGCGCTCTCGGCTCTCAGTGATGGCATCTGGGGTGTCGCAGGGATTGTCAGAATGACTCATTGTTTCGATGTTTGCTGCCTGTAGGGGACGCCATCTCCGGGTTTGAATTTAGAGTTTCCTTCTCTTAGATGAGTTGCCGACCAAGGTTAACGAGTACCATCTATCCGGGGTGCTGGTGAGGTTTTTCTGCTTGACTGGGATTTTGGATGGAATTGAACTCCCGACCACCAAATTGAGATTTGCTCAGTTTAGACAAATCGACCACTCGGCCCAACGCAGCCTGTCAGGCGCTTGTGAACCGGAAGCAAGCACAATTTTTGCGCAGAATGCTCTGACATTGTCATAGGCAACACTGAAAAGTTATCCTTGCTCTTGTAACTTCTTTTTGAGTGCATTTAGCTCCTGTCAACAAGAAAAGCCAATTCCATAAACATTTGGGATCACCAAGTACAGGAATAACCACCCTATCCATCTCCATGAAGACTTTACATGACTAAACGTGTTCAAACAGTAGGCAGGAGCGGGCAGTATTTATGAATTATTGATGCGAAGGAAAATGTTATTGTAGGGAGATCAAATTTTGATTTTGTATAGTACAAAAAGCCCTTTAGAATAACTCTATTTTGAAAGTGACCAAGCTGACAGACTCGGAATTTCCCTCACTCGTAAACACTAGTGGCAGATGTATGAGGGTTTCTTATGCTGTGTCAGATTGCTACGATTTACACAACTATGGTTTTGCACTTCCAACTGCCTGACTTTTTTAAACTTTTCATTAAACCGCACCATGGACATGTTTGTCTCATAAAATGCTATAAAATAAAAATAAAAACTTGTAGACCGATTTTAAAACGATTTTACCATTATAATCAAAGCGCAAATCTATACAAACATGATAAAAATCAGAATAAGACTAGTCGGTGAGATTCGACTGAAACCGTCGCGGGGGGTCACTTTATCGATATAAGAATGGGGAAAACGCGCGAGCCGCATTAACACTAAAATTTGCTGTCATGGAGCGGGACACAAAATATCGTCTTGTGGGCCGCAAATGGCCCGCAGGCCGCGAGTTTGAGACCCCTGATATAGATTGTAATATTTACCGAAGAAATATCTCTCCTTGAATTAAGTGGAATGATTTTCACACATATCGCGTTTAACAAACTGCAGCCGTTGGAACTGGTGAAACGTTGTGGCTAATAGTAGCATTCTACTTACCAACACACGTTTTTATATCTGTTTCCACAGAATTAGGCATGTACCAAGAAGTGTAAAAGAATTATTTTACTTCACAAATCTGGTATAGAATTGAATAAACACACAAAATAAACATAGACATTATAAACTTCATTTTCAACAAGGCATACCGATACCTTTAAGGGGTGCACTAGGTCCTGCTTTATTAGATTTAGAAGGCTTCTTTTCATTTAAACTGGGTACTGCCATATTGGATGACTTCTTTTCTTTTGCACTAGTTCCAGCCATTTCAGATTCAGATGACTTCTCTTTTTGAATAGGTCCTACGGTATAAGATTTAGATAAATTCTTTTCTCTATGTGGTTCCAATGTGTTAGGTGCTGAAACATATTTAAATGCTTTATATTTATTCGTTGGTCCTGTTATTTAAAGTAAAAAATAATTTAGTTTGCATTTTAAGATTATTTATTTGATGTTATAGTATTATATATGTATATAAATATATAATAAATAAATTAATTAATATAAAATGTATGGATTATGATGGTGGAGAGACTTTTATTAAATAGTCACATCAAAATTATGACATCCGATTTTTTTTTATTTACCAGAGCTGAAATGCTTGAATCCTAATGAAAGGAGTTGACACAAATCTATCAATCATCTTTGTATTGTTATATATTATTATTAATTTTAATAGAATTGTATAAAACCAAATGTTCACACACAAAATAAACATAGAAATTATAAACTTCATTTTCAACAAGGCATACCGATACCTTTAAGGGGTGCACTAGGTCCTGCTTTATTAGATATAGAAGGCTTCTTTTCATTTGAACTGGCTACTGCCATATTGGATGACTTCTTTGTTTTTGCACTTTTTACTTCCATTTCAGATTCAGATGACTTCCCTTTTTGAATTGGTCCTACGGTATAAGATTTAGATAAATTCTTTTCTCTATGTGGTTCCGCTGTGTTACGTCCTGAAACATTATATTTAAATGTTTTATATTTATTTGTTGGTCATGTTATTCAAAGTAAAAAATAAATTAGTTTGTATTTTAAGATTATTTATTTGATCTTATATCATTATATATGTATATATTTAAAATATGTAAATAAATTAATATAATATGTATGGATTAAGTGACATTTTTATCTTATTATGATGGTGGAGAGACTTTTATACAATAGTGACATCAAAATTATGACATCCGATTTTTTATTTTAATTTACCAGAGCTGAAATGCCTGAATCTTAATAAAAGGAGTTGTCACAAATCTATCAATCATCTTTGTTAATGTATACTATTATTATTATTTTAAAAGGAATTATCATTTTAAAATGATTGTAGTTTAAGTATTTAGGTCAATGTGTGATTTTTTTTGGTTTAAATTAAAGGCATTCAAGTATACCTTAAATAATCATTGTATTATTACAAGCCAATATACACGGCGTTGCCCAGTATTGCATTTGGGAAAACAACAGCCTCTACAGACTTTTAACTAACATTGAAATTAAGCGCCATGTAAAAATAAATTTCAATAAACCTTGAGTAGAAAAAGATTTACTTTGTCTCCTATAAAAAGAACATTATAATAAGTTTTGTAAACCTTTCGTTCCCCGATGGGATCCTGATCTCGGAGGAATCCAATCGGATTCATTTTCCCGAATGATTCAATTTGTCAATTGCATCCCGGTATCCGGAGTAATCCCGATCCTGTTGGGATCCCCATCCCTGTGAAATCCCGATACCATTTGGTTACCCAACCCGATCCCGGTGCATCCCGATCCCGTTAAAATCCCGATCACATTAGTTTCATGATTGTAGTGTATCCTGGTGGATTACGATCCCTGTGAGATCACGACCCTTTTCGGTTTCCCGACCCCGTCAGAATCCTGTTTCCCGGTGGGATCCCAATACCAGTGGGATACTGATCCTGTTGGAATCCCAATACCGATCAGATCCCGATCTCAATGGTTTCGGTGGGATCCTGCTTTCAGGTGGGATCCCCATCCCGTTAGGGTCTCGTTCTCTGTGGGTTCCCGTTTACAGGTGGGATCCACCTCTCCGATGGGATCCCGTTTGACGATAGGTTCCCTATTTGATCCAGTTACACAAAGGAATCTCGTTACCGGTGAGTTCCATTTACATGTTCCCCTTTAAGATCATATTCCTCGTTGGGATCATGTTCCCAATTGGATTTTTTCCCGGTAGTATTATGAAGGGTGTGTTAAAAGAACATCCCCATGAATGTATGTAAATACCTATGTAAAAATGACTTTTCTAAGTAATTGTTTTTCAAATACCAAAAATTCTACCACCAAATGCAGATCTGTAACTATAGTTCATTTAAGTTGAAAGAGGGCCCCAACGGGTGTCAGTTCCATGATGATACAGAAAAAATAGATTTGCCTGAGATAACGGTCCTATAAAAATCAGTCGGATAAATTATGGCGTGAAATTTAAAGTTTTAAAATTATCGAACTTTCTGGAAAATTCTAGATTGGATATTTTTAGTTTAAAATCCAATGACATTTCAATTGGGACTATGAAATGTATTGCTACCTTGCTAGGCCTGGATCCATCAATTCGCATAGAACTTATAGTGTTGTCTAAGCCTTTTAATATTTATATAGTTATTTTAGGCTTCCGATCCTGGTGGGTTCCCAATCCCGGTTGGATGCCGATCACGATAGGATCAAGTTTCCTTATAGGATCTTGATCACAGTAGAATTTTGATCCCGTTAGTGTCCTGATCCCGTTAGGATCCCGTTTCTGGTGGGATCATGATCCCTCTGGATATCAATTCGGTCGAGATCTTTATACCGTCGCTATTTCGATCCGGGTGGTATCCGATCCCAGATTGATCCTGATACAGCAGGGATCCCGATACAGAGGAATTTCCGATCTTGTCGATATCCCGATGCCTTTTGGAACCCGACACCGCTAGGATCCTCAGCCCGTTTCATATCATTACGCGATGGGATCACGTTACCAGAGAATTCAGTTTACTTTTGATCTTGTAACATTGCAAAAAGCTTGAAGATCCCATTATATAACCCCGTAGAAAAATATAGACATTTCTGGAACATTGTCGATTACATTTTTATTGTAAACAGTAAGTTCCTACGTAATTATTTTTCGGACACGAAATATAATACAACTAAATGCACTGCTATAACTATATTACATTTAAGTTTATAGAGTGGCTCCGGTGGGCGCCCATTGCATAATATTATCGACTTAGTTTTGTCTGAGATTCGCGAAATTAGTTCTCATAATCAGGTTTTTGAGCGATTATTGTGTGGAAGATACTTTAAGTTTCACTATTTATTCATGTTGAATTCACTTTCTTTTAGTGGCCTGCGATGGCCGAGAAGAGGAAAAGAAAAATAGACAATGAGTGTAGGCAATTCCAAGAAGAATGGAGTTTGAAATACTTCTTCATCAAATCCGGCGAGATAGCATTGTGTGTGATTTGCCTCGAAACAGTGGATGTGATACAAAAAAATACAACCTGCCCCGTGATCATCAAAGCAAACATCAGGAGCAATGTTCCCTCTAATGTTTCCTGGTTCGTGTGCTAAATCATACAGTTGTGTGCAAAGTTTTACAGAATCAATTTTTGTGTCCAAAATTTTACAGCCCACAAACACACGCTTATGTGGACGTTATTGTCTGCACAAGAAGGCATTTAGCCGAAACGTTCTTCTGATTGTTCTTTTTTGTTTCAAATCTAACATAATGTTCCACTATTTAATCATTTACATGATTTGAACACCGTCCACCCTTACATTATCTTTGGAATTAAGTCCCAAAATATGTTCTGTAGAGATAAAATATGTTGTTATGTAGAGAAGGGGACAACGAATATGACAAGGGTTCAGAAAAGTCGGTGAGATGTTTTTGTTTTAAAGATGGATAGACAGAAGGTTGTGTAGAAATGAAATAGCAATACAGATCTGAAACAATTCGATTATATATTTTGGATGATGAAAGGAGGATGAAGAAAAGAGTATTATTAGAAGTTTAGAGGAACAAATTATCTACAACATTGATCCATTTGACGATGCTTTCATTGCAGCATGTTTCTTTATACATTTTATATTTTGTAAAACCATCATTTTTTTAAAGTTCTATATATTTGAGTCCTACATTAAATGTGTTGTTGGGCTGCTGTACGTATTTGTGTCCAACATTGAGTGTGTTGTCGGGCAGATGTAAATGTTTGTGATTTACATTGAAACTGTCGTTAGGCAGATGACAAATTTGTGTCTTACATTGAATGTGCTGGTGGGAAGATGTAAATCGTGGGTCCTTTTTCTTCTATGAGATATTGTAGATATATATTTAGACCCACTTCTGTTATTACAATATTTTACATGCTATCGTAACGATATTAATATTTTTTTATATAACGGTCCGTCAATAAAAGACTTCTTCTTTGATTACTTATAGGTAGGAATAATATACAGAAATGTTAGACAAGTTTAAGGCATGTTCCCAACATTTACACAATGTCATGATAGAAGGAAATTCTATTAAATTTCACTCTGTGGTATGAATAAAATGTAACTTCAAGTATCGTAAGAGCAATAAACGACTTACATTTGATATGAAGGCTTGTTATGTGTGCAGTCACCAATTAAACATTCTCAAAAGAATGGGTTGATTTGATTTTTATTGGAAACACAGCTCAGAGCAGGCGAAGTGGGCAAAATGAAATCATGACTGATTAGGACCTTATTATTTATTCGGTCTCTTTTGTTAGATAATAGTTCAAAGACGTACGTCTACGCTACGCATGACTTGCTATGTCCCGTTACACTGATCTTTAACTGCAATACCCACTTCTGCATTCAACCAAGTTTAAAGACCTCATCGATCTAAAAATCAATAACCAATACCAAAATGTTTTGAACGGTTCACCCCATTGTTACCGTCATATTCGTGCCCCCCCCCCATCTAACCCAAGGTCTGCCGGAGCTAGCTTCAGATCAGTCATACACTTTGCATGTTAGGCCAGCACCTACGTCACGTGATAGAACTTGTTACCTGAACACCAATTCTTAGTGACAATGAGTTGTGCAAGTATGTCCTGGCGGTACAAAGCCTTGATTGAGAGATTCGCGTCTTGTTGCCATGGTCCTGGCATAAACAGTTATTCAAGTAATGGTCTTTCTCATGGCCTCTGATCAACTGGGTCACCCATTAAATAATCCAATACACCGTCAGTATCGTGACACATGACATAGAATAATTCAGTGAAGCAGGAGATTAAAATCAATAAAGCATTTTATAGTTCTCTGTCGACCTTGACATTCCTACCAGAAAGCCTAAGTACGTATTTTTATTAAAGCAAAGGTTCCCAAAACATTTATGAGTCACGACAACCCCATTTTATGAGATCAGGCAGCTTTTTGTTTACTCTTCCATTCAGTTACCAAGCAGAAATCCCAATGCTTGGGAAGCCTTGATTTGAACGGGTTTTATTCCCCATCTCCTACATTGCTCGGCCTGTGAGTTATGTGTAGAAAACTCGAAAACAAGCTATTGAGCTGAAATTGTGTGTAGAGTTTGGTATCGTCTCTGCACCTTCTTATATAAACAAGTTTTTGGTTTAGTCCCGTTGTACGTTGCGATAGTTTGTTTTAGATCGACACAGAATCCTTTTGAGTGACAAGCTGTACACGATAATGAGATCTTGTTTTATTTGTATATGATAAATCATATAGGCAGTGGTTAGAGTTGGTCGCCCCACCACGATAAACATATTATATATAATAAAAATAAAGCTTATTTGAAAAACACGCTTCATCCCCAAAGGCTCGAAGCGCGGTACAAAGTCATCAAGTTAAAAAGAAACACTTTGAAATTCAAAACGCAACATTACAAAAACTACATACGTGAATATCCATTTTAAGACTTTCATCCCTTTCAACCATAAACAAAACAGGCCTCTTTACATCTAGGAGATAATAGTTAGCTGGAAAAGAAGGTAGACATTTCACCCTAACAGGTGTTTGCGAAAAAGATATGTTTTCAAATCGGCCTTGAAAGACTCCAGTGTCTTGCTGCTTCTGAGCGCAACAGGACGTGTGTTCCAAATTGTTGGGCCATCAAATGCAAACGTGCGTCTTCCGTAAGTCTCAAGGCAAACACGTGGTATCGAGCGTTTGCCACTATCGGATGATCGGAGTTGTCTATTTGGTACATAAGGCGTCATGAGCGATTTGAGATAGGAAGGCGCCAGGTCATGCAAGCAGCGGTAGCACAGAGTTGCAATCTTGTACTCTATACGAGCGCGGACCGGCAGCCAATGCAACTCTCTTAGAAGTGTTTTAGCATGGTCGAACTTGTGTTTCACAAGAACAATGCGAGCCGCATTATTCTGTGCTCTTTGAATTTTATCCAGGAGCGTAGCTGGAAGACCCACCATGAGAGAATTGCAGTAGTCCATGCGGGATAGCACAAATGCAGACATCAGCCTCTTTATTGCTTCAATTGTTAAGAAGGGCCTGATGTGACTTATCCTGCGCAGCTCTAGAAAAATCGCTTTGCATAGCATGTTAATGTGACTTTCCAAAGTTAGTGTTCTATCTAGGTTTACACCCAGGCACTGCACTGTTTGAGCTAACTCCGAATTAGATCTTAGATTTCTTCGATGTCAAGCCGTTTGAAATAACTGACTGGGCTAGATTTGACAGATATGATCGGAGCCATCTCAGGAGGGTATCAGTGAGACAGAACTTTTTTTTTTTTTTTTTTTTTTTTTTGTGCAGACGTTGTAGAAGTATGCCGTGGTCAAGCATGTCGATAGCTGTCGATAAATCAAGTAGTGACAAAAGAGATAATCTGCCCTCACCACGAGATGATAGAAGGTCATTTACGACGCCCAAGAGGGCCGTCTCAGTAGAGTGATGCGCCCTGTATGCTTACTGGAAAGGCTCAAACAAGTCACATTGAGTGAAGTAGTTCAGGAGCTGACGGAGGACGACTTTCTCTAAAATGTTGGAAACAAAAGGTAGGTTTGAGATTGGGCGATAATTTTCAAACACATTTGGGTCTAAACTTTTGTTTTTTTTTTAGCAATGGAGTCACGACCGCCTCTTTAAAAGAGGATGGACAATACCTGTTTTCAAAGAATGATTTATGATACTAGTTACAATAGGGGCTATTTCATCCAAACATTCGTATAACAGCCTTATCGGAAGAAGGTCAAGCAAAAATGACTTTTTTGGGGAGTCAATCAGGATTTTCTTCACATCCGATTCAGTGACCTCCAAAAATTCGCACATAGGAGTGCCGTTAAACGGCAAGAATTCGGGAGCATCGGTGCAAATGTCATGTCTCGCCCTGATCTTCATAACTTTCTTAACAAACAATTTATTTAGAGCGTCTGGCAGCTAACCTACCTATATGTGCTCCACCTGATGTCACAAATCTTAATGAGAACTAATAAGTCCCTGATATGGCTAAGAGAACTCACTGAATGGCTTCTTGTGAAAAAATGTTTTACAAATGTCTTGTGTTCAAATTATTTTATATATGTGTTGAAAATGTACAATGCAATCATAAATCATTTCCATTTGTTTGGATCAATAGAAGAAGAATCTTTTCTTATATATATATATATATATATATATATATATANTTGATGGGTAAAGTTGTGGAGGGGAAATTGTGTGCGTCACAGCTTCTGGGTGAAAGTGGGTGTCTCTTGGGGGGGGGGGGGGTTGCTGTTTTAAAAAAAAAGGGGGGGGTGTTAACAGAGTTGGTGAGCTCCTCACCAGAAAATCTGTGATATATTTTTGCGAATGGCTAACTTGAGATTTCTCATCATTCTACACGTTTTTGCAGAGCAACAGAAGATATGTTTTTGGAATAAAGATGTCCTTTCGACCTGGTACAGTTTATACAAATCTTTAACTGTCAGTTGTTGATAAATCGTAAAGTTGTTTCATATTTTGTTTTTAAATATTAAATTCTTTAAATTTTTAACTATTAAATGTATTTTTTAGTAGGTCCAACAACTTTTTTTTTTAAATGCCATGTCATCTAGATGACATTAAAGACAAAACAACTTTCAAATGTTGCCCTTAAATGACTGCCACAGTATTTTTGAAAATAATGGTTTTCAGTGTTGAGGGGGCAAATAAATGAATCTTGTCCCTTGGCGTCAAACACTCTAGTTACGACTGGGGGGTGGGTGGGGGTTTGTTACGGTTTTGTTATCATCTATTATGAGTGTATCTAAATTATGTTAAGGATTAAACAAAAATGTTGATAAATTATAATTTGAAGCGAACCCAGTCTATGACGTATTAAATATTCAATTCAATATGCTATAGATTAAATTTTATTACAGGATCTATACGTGCATAAATATTTGAGTCAGCACTATAGCAACGTGACGCGTACCTCTCTATTGAGGGAGTCGACCTGGGACGACCCCGTTGTGCTCCCGCTTCAGCAAGTCACAAGTTTGAACCTGCAACGTGTTCAACCAACTGAAACTAGACCTGGCTGGCTTGGGGGATAGGTGCAGCAAGAAAAGGTAGGCGGTCTCGGTAGACAGGTTCAAAACATTATTCAGACGCACTTTTGTTAAAGGGTTGTGATGTTTTGAATTTCTGACTGGGTAGGTGTAATTAATTGTATCTCTTAGTATGGGTGACCGAATGGTCAAAGGCCAGTCAAGCAAAAAACTTCACCCCGGGTGGATGAGACTCGTTAACCTTGGTCGGAAACTCATCTAAGAGAAAGAAACTCTGAAGTTAAACCCGGAGTTGGAGTCCCGTACAATGACAATTCCTGCAACCGTACCCATCCCTGGTTGTCTTGACGTAGAGTCTTGCCACTGGATATGGTGGGCCCGGACGAGAGAGTGAGGCTGATGCCGCGCAACTCTTCCTCACGTTAAACAAAAGTCACGTGCACAAGTCATCAGTCACCGGACCGCTCGATGGTGGTACGAAGAACATCTCTTAGTCTTCTAGAATAGGGCGTTTGTCAAATAGAGTGTCAGATGTTATACGAGGTGGGATGTCAGTTTGGATGACTAATTGGATGGATGAAAAATTGGATTGATGACAAATTGGATGGATTACAAATTATATTGATGACAAATTGGATGGATTACAAATTGGATTGATGACAAATTGGATGGATTACAAATTGGATTGATGACAAATTGGATGGATTACAAATTGGACGATGACAAATCGGATGGATTACAAATTGGACGATGACAAATTGGATGGATGACAAATTGGACGATGACAAATTGGATGGATGACAAATTGGATGTCCAGTGCATGTCAACTGGAAGGTCGGGTGTAATGTAAGGTGGGATTTCCGATGTGGTAGCAGGTGGTACGTCAGTTTGTGTAAAAGGTGTCAAAAAGGATGACAGGTGGTCTATCTACCTATGGGTCGCGAGGAGGTCGAAAGACCTTTACACGAGACCATCGGAGAAAACATATTTATGAAGCGGCAACAAAAATAATTTTATGGTTGGGGGTCAACACAGCATGTATTAAAAGGTCGTGGCATTAATCACTGCAGTAGTACATCAGCGGGAGTGAATGATGAAAACAAAACAAATAATATTTGGCTCCATATCAACAGATGCAATCAATGAAATACTCTCTTATTAATGGTCCTCACTAATTAGTGGTCCTCACTCACTCTCTTATTAGTGGTCCTTAATTATTCTATTATCTGTTGTCCTCATTTACTCTGTTATAAGTGCTCCTCAAAAAATCTCTTATTAATGGTCCTAAAATAATCTCTTATTAATGGTCCTCAAATACGTCTCGT